TGGTAGAGGATTTAATAGAGGAAAGAGAGCTGGTTTGTTTGAATGATGGCAGGGGGACAAGGATAGATTCTCGAACAGGGATGGAGTCTGTGTTGGATTTGACATTGGTTTCTAATAATTTAGCTAGTAAGTGTAATTGGGAGGTTTGGGAGGAATCTAACATTGGGAGTGATCACTATCCAATATTTACAACTTTGGATATAGAGATGGAGAGATCATCAGCACAAGGAAAAGAAAGATGGGTATTTGAAAAAGCAAACTGGGCTAAATTTGAAGAAATTTGTGAGGAAAGGTTAGAAGTAATTGACTCAAAGCAAGAAATTAACAACTTAAATGATAACATTTGTGCCATACTGCTTGAAGCAGCGTCGGAAACAATCCCAAAAAGTAAAGGAAAAATGACAAGGAAAGCGGTTCCATGGTGGACAGATGAGTGTGGTAAAGCTGTGAGAGCTAGAAATAAGGCTTTTAAACTTCTTAAAAGAACGCATAATTATAATCATTTAATATTATACAAGAAAGCTCAAGCAGTGGTAAGAAGAACTATAAGGCAAGCTAAAAGAGATAGCTGGCAAAGCTTTTGTAGTGAGATTGGGAGAACAATGCCAGTGGGTGACGTGTGGAGTATGATAAAAAAAAATGGGAGGCAATAAAAGAGAGTGGGTATATCCAGTATTAGATGCAGAAAGGGAAATAGCGGTAACAGACAAGGACAAAGCAGAAATGTTGGTAAAAACATTTGTACAGATTCATGGGTCAGGGAACTTTAGTGAAGAAGGAAGGAGGAGGAGGGAAATAACAAAGAGACAACATCTAGAAGATCTAGAAAGAAATGGGGGAATAGAAGATCAGTCAGTTAACCTCCCGTTTACTCTAGATGAACTGAAAAGAGCTGAAAAATACACTGTCGTCTCCAGGAAAAGATCAGATCACAAATATAATGTTTCATGGGTCAGGGAACTTTAGTGAAGAAGGAAGGAGGAGGAGGGAAATAACAAAGAGACAACATCTAGAAGATCTAGGAAATAATGGGGGAATAGAAGATCAGTCAGTTAACCTCCTGTTTACTCTAGATGAACTGAAAAGGGCAATTAGTAATTTAAATAATACACTGTCGTCTCCAGGAAAAGATCAGATCACAAATATAATGTTGAAACATCTTAAAGATGGGGCTATAGGAAACATTTTAGACTTGTATAATAGAGTATGGGAGGAAGGAAGATTACCAAATGCTTGGAAAGAAGCTATAATAATTCCAATAAGCATGGCAAAGATCCTTCTAAACCATCTAATTATAGGCCAATAGCTCATACTTCAAATATATGTAAATTAATGGAAAGGATGGTTACAGACCATTTTACATATTTATTGGAAAAGAGAGGAATATTAACTAAATATCAAAGTGGTTTTAGAAAAGGAAGAGGAACAATGGACCCTGTTGTATGTTTGGAAAATGAAATTAGAAAAGCTCAGGTAAATAAAGAATCAGTAATTGCAGTATTTTTTGATGTTGAGAAAGCATATGATATAATGTGGAGGGAGGGACTTTTGATAGAACTGAAAATGATGAATATAGATGGAAGAATTTACAATTGGATTAAAGATTTTATGGCGTACAGAAGTATACAGGTGAGAATTGGAAATGAATTGTCAAACAGATGTGAGATAGAAAATGGAACTCCACAAGGGAGTGTTATAAGTCCATTAATTTTTTCCATAATGATTAATGATGTATTTAATCAAGTACAGCAAGATGTAGGTCGATCTCTTTTCGCTGATGATGGAGCTCTATGGAAAAGGGGAAGGAATATTTTGTATATTAATGGAAGGATGCAAGAAGCAATTCGACGGGTAGAAGAATGGGCAGGTGATTGGGGATTTAAATTTTCAGTAGAAAAGACTAAGACTATAATTTTCTCTAGGAAAAGAATTATACCAGAAATAAACTTGAAGATGTACGAGAGGTCCTTAGAGAGAGTTAGTGTTTTAAAATTTGTAGGTATTTATTTTGATAGATAAAACCAGAATGTGACTAGAGGGGCGGGGCCAAGAGCCGTGGGAACGGAGCGAGGCTGGTGGAGTAAATGCTAATGCGCAACAACTGTGCCACTCACCGGTCTTGAGTCCCGCGGAGGAGCTCCGGAAGGATAAAAGGAGGACAGTGTTGGAGGAGAGAGGACCAGGCCTGGAATTTATTTTGTGTTTTGTGTGCGGCAGTCGTCCGAGAGGCGACAAAACACAAAATAAAGTCCAGGCCTGGTCCTCTCTCCTCCAAGGACTCGAGACCGGTGAGTGGCGCAGGTGTCGTGCATTAGCATTTACTCCACCGGCCTCGCTCCGTTCCCACGGCTCTCGGCCCCGCTCCTCTCGTCACAGTATTAAACATGAGATGTGTAAGTGGAGTGGCATGGGGGCAAGTTTTTCGTCATTAAAAACTATTTATGTGGCACTGATCAGATCTGTGTTTGATTATGGCAGTGTGGTATATGGTTAGGCTTCAAAAACCCTGTTGGAAAAACTGGATAAAATACAAACCCAAGCTTTGAGACAGTGTTGTGAAGCGGTAAAAACGACACCCATTCCTTCTTTACAAGTCCTGTTAGGAGAGATTCCTCTGGAAATGAGAAGGAAACAATTAATGATCAATTACTGGGCTAACCTCAAGGGTCATAAAGATGATCATCCTACAAAAATGGTTTTAATGAAGTGTTGGGAACAAAATAAGTTGAGTAGAAAAAGTTTTGGATGGAGTAGTGAAGCATATGTAGAAGAAATGGAGGTAAATCGGTTTAAGATGAGCCCAACAGTTGTGATTCCTGAAAATGAACCATGGAATTATATAACTCCCCATATAGATTTACATTTGTTGGAAATTAAAAAAGCAGAAAGAGAAGTAGACATGTCTTCAGCATTCTCTGAACATTTTAGAACACAATATCCTCAATACTTACAAATATTTACAGATGGTTCAAAAGATCCAGAGCGTGAAACAACTGGAGCTGCTTTTTTAGTTCCTGACTGGGCAATGAGTAGTATAACGCGAACATCCAATCATTTGGCAGTATATACTGTTGAAATGATAGCAATACTCCTTGCAGTGGGTAGAGGATTATAAACCTGGAAAGGTTTTAATTTGTTCTGATTCACTCTCAGTTTTAAAAAGTCTAAGGTCTTTTAAATCCAGTCATCAAGATATTCTTTTTAGTATTTTACAGATATATTCAAGATTGGTTCAGAATGATATTTTAATCAGTTTTATTTGGGTTCCATCACACGTAGGTGTAAAGGGAAATGAGGACGTAGATAAGTTAGCAAAACAAGCTTTGCAGAGAGAAGAAATAGAATTACAAGTTCCTCTAAGCAAGTCTGAAATTAAGGTTTTAATCTGGAAAAAGGTTATTGCAGAATGGTAAATAAAGTGGGACAACAACGAAAAGGGTAGATTTCTCTACAATTCAATTAACAAAGTAAGTAAAAAATAAGACATATTGGTAAAACAAGGAAAGAATAGGTTGTCTATAATAGAATATTGTGCAGAATGGCAAATAAAGTGGGACAAAAACGAAAAGGGTAGATTATTCTACAGTTTAATTAACAAAGTAAGTCAAAAAATAAGACATATTGGTAAAACAAGGAAAGAATAGGTTGTCTATAATAGAATATTGTTGGGACATTCCAATCTTAATAGTACACTCAAAATATTAGGGAAACATCCAAATGGACTATGTGAACAATGCAAAGTAGAAGAAACAGTAACCCATGTAATTCTTGAATGTAAGGAATATGAGGAAGAAAGAAGTAATATGATAGTTGAAATCAAGAAGAATGGAATTCAGGTGGTACATTTTAAATCTTTAATAAAATGGGCAAGTGAAATAAATAGCAAAGCTTTCTTTAATTTTCTTAAAAAGACGGGATTAATAAATAGAATGTAACTCTCTGTTCCACACTCCGGAGCAGAAGGTGGCGGTAATGCACCTAATTACGCTGGTTGCCAGCCGCCATTAAAAGCCAAGAAGAAGAAGAAGAAAATAATGCCATACCCCTTGTCCAAATACCAACACTTGCGGTCTTGGCCACTTGAGACAAGTGCAAAGACCGCAAGTGTGGGTATTTGGACAAGGCTATAGTCTTCTCGATGCTTCTTCCTGTTTCAAAGTTAATGAGTGTGACATAGTTGGGCGTGAGCATGGCTTCTGACGTCACATCTGGATGTGGGCCGGGTTTGATGTCCACTGCAGGTGAGCGAGACGCTTCTCTCTTTCTGGCTTTAGTTTTGAGCTTCGTTACACAAGATGAGAAAAAAATTATCACTGATAGATACAATTAACTGTAGGCACTCAGACTTGTAGATAATAAGTAGAAATGTGCATAAATGCCAAAAATATTGGAATTCTGAAGGACCCTTTCGCGAACATGTCCTACTTGACTGATTGCACAGACACTATTGGAAGAGAGCTAAACTGGATGATGACATCACTGAATCATCAATGAACTGACTTTTACTGGAAAAATTACTCTGTTATTGTCTTTTTGCATTATTGACAATCTATTTTCCTGTTTTACACTGTAAAGCTGCTTTGACACAACCAGTATTGTATAAAGCGCTATACAAATAAAGGTGACTTGACTTTTTTTTAGTTTTTGATTTTAAGTTGTTAATTTTCATTTTAGATTTAAGTTATTTTAGTGCATAAAGTTAAACAAAATTAAAATAAGAAATGTTGCCATGGCAACTAGCTAAAAATGACACTACAGTAGAAATCAAATTCAATTGCCAAATAGCACTGCTTAATGAAACCCTTAATATCTGTCACTGCTAATATGAAAAACTTTGTGAGTCAGCTGAACCCAACAGGTCTAAACCAGCACAAAAACACATGGGCTACTTATCGTTATTGGCAAAATCCCAGAAAGAAAAAAAAACAGTATTGCACAGCCCTACATCTATTTGAGATCATCTATCAGTGTTTTTCATGAGCATCTCTGCTCTTCCTCAGAGAACATGTCTGCTGATTGTGTGGTGTCGAGTCAGAATGAAATGTCCCCGGGTCTCTGTGAGAGTCTGAACCGGCGGCGTAAGAAGCGGACAAGCATTGAAACCAGCATCCGTCTGGCCTTAGAGAAGAGCTTCCTGGAGGTGAGCGTGTCTCCTGACCGCTAGAGGGCAGCAGAGCTCAACATTCACCACTGTATCACACACATTGAGCTCTGCCCCTCCTAGTTACTGTTGTTAACCAGAAACAACATCCCATAGCAGTGAGCTGCAGATTTGTGTTTGCCAGTGAAATGTTATTGACTGTGACAGTCATTTACACCAGTGCTTCTCAACTGGTTTGGCCATGGGACCCACATTTTCCCATAGTCATCAAGCCGCGACCCACTTTATGATATATATATATATGTATATATATAATTTGTTTTAAAAAAATATCATACCTTCATGCAAATATTTCCCAGCTAACACACGAAGTACCAGTTATGTGATTTATTGGTACTTTACTTTTATTTCACACGTTGCATGCTCATAGTTTCTTTTGCGCTTTAGTGAAATGATATACAGCGTGCACCGCCACATCTGCGCATGCTACAAGCATAGTATAATGTCTGACAGGACAGGATAGTTCATTTTTCTGAGGTGAGAAACTTTTTATTTCATAAGTTAACAAAATAACGATAGAATAATGAGCCTGACATGAAGCCTGACATCTCATCTGACCGCAGATACTGAATCGGGACAGCACGTTTTTCTCAGGCAGTCTTTATTTAAACTGCAAAAAAAGTGTCAACAGCTTTCACGCACATATTTCAAAATAAAATTCTCGCATCAGAAAAACATTTAGAATTACGTTTTTTGTTGTTGATGTTGTTTCTTTGCCTGTACACTCCGTGACCCACTCAGAACGGACTTGCGACCCACAAGTTGAGAAACACTGATTTACACTGCAATAAATTACCACAACAAAGTTTTACTGCGTTTTTTGGATAATTTCCATAAAATTACATGTAAAACTATCCAAAAGAACAAGCACCTGCGGATAGCAATAGCTGCTAAGGTAGGAATGGTGATTGACGTTTTGGAGGCGGGGCTTAGCTGATATCTCTATTAAATGAAATTAGACGAAGCGTTTACATAGAGCGTTTCTGTCTCATCTGGAAAAATATTGAAATTCTGCAGGACCCTTTCACGAACAAGTCCTACTCCATATCTCGCCTAACCAGAAGTCCTCCATTTTTTGTTTTATATAAAGTTTTAGTAATTTTGTTGTGTGATTTTTGTCGGTTTTTTTTTTGTTTTTGATTTCTTAAAGTTGTTCATTTTCATTTTAGTTTTAGATTTTATTACATAAAGTTCAACTAAATTAAAATAAGAAATGTTGCAGTGGCAGCTAGTTGAGATAAATGTTTTGTATATTTGATCTCAGTTAACATTTAATTTTATTTCAACTAATTAATTTTTTATGGTTTGTGTTTTTTGTTTTAGTTAAAGTTAACTATAGTAATTAGCTAATATCTGTGTTGAACGCTAATGAGACGAAGTGTTTACATTGAGCTTTTCTGTCTCATCTGCAGCAGAGTCAAAAGCCGTCATCAGAGGAGATCACGCTGATTGCGGATCAGCTCAACATGGAGAAGGAGGTGGTACGCGTTTGGTTCTGTAACCGCAGACTAGGGCTGCACGATTAATCGCATGCGATATTTAAACGCTTCTTATCAGTAAAGCCGGTTCTGTAATCAGCGGTAAATCTCCATCACCTGCATGCTTTCACATTGAGCAGCATTAACTACACAGAGCCGTTGTTCACTGATGAGCTGCGCTAAACCACGTTCATATTCGCGCGATTTTTTGCGCAGCTCGTCAGTGAACAACGGCTCTGTGTAGTTAATGCTGCTCAATGTGAAAGCCCGCAGGTGATGGAGATTTACCAATGATTACAGAACCGGCTTTCTGACAAGATGCGTGTTAAATATCGCATGCGATTAATCGTGCAACCTTACCGCAGACAGAAAGAGAAGCGGATCAATCCTCCCAGCATCGGTGGCGGATCGCCTGGATCAGCCATCAAAACCATCTACAGCAGCGCCACCACAGCGGTATGTCATAAACCAGAGTCACTCCAGATCCTGCAGTCATGTGACACTGTTTACTTTCTTCATTCATGTTCATTACTGACATTATTCTGCTGCTTTTCACAGTAATTAAGACAGTAATTTAATGGTGATGAACATCTGGGTCAGAAAGCGTCAAATTAGGTCTGCCCGATTAACCGAAATAAAACGAAATCACCATATGGCTTATTGTGATTATCACATGGTTATTAAACTTTTTTTTTTTATGTTTTTATTGGTATTTAACAAGACAATACATAATGATACATTAAATGAAATTAAATGTCATTTTGATCATCTTTTTGGGGCAGTCCTACAGACAAGCACAGCAAACCTGAGGGATTTTTTTTAATCGCGTTTTAAATCAGAATCACAATTTTTGTCAGAAAAATCACACAGCCCGACTGCAAACTCAGCTGTTTTGTGTATGATGCTGTAATCTGTGGATGCAGCGAGTGTTTCTGCATGTGAAGTGTTGTCTTATTGATTATTGATGAGTGATTGGTTGTGTTCAGGTGTCCAGCGACACAAACACACTGACGGTCAATTCTGTGGTTTCTCTGAACAACAGCAGCATCTCAAACCTCACACTCAGTGGTGCGTCCCTCCTGCCATTACAGCTTTTCCTTCCTCAATATTCCTAATGTGAATTTGTGAGTCATGTGACACTTTCTCTGTGCTGTAGGTGGAGCTCTAGGTCAGGTGATATCTAACCCACCATCTGTCATCTCCATGGCTCCTGCTGTGGCCACGGCTGCTCCTGCCGTGATGTCACACTTGCTCAGCCTGTCCGCCACCACCATAAAGCAGGAAGTGGCCGCTGCCGCGCAGCCAGTTTCCACAGCAACAACGGCCACACAGGGGGCAGGGCAGCTGCTGGTGGCAGGTACAGGACTGGGTGGTGCTAATCTGACTGCTGTCACGGGCTTGAACCCAACAGTCATAACGCCGTCACAGCTGACACAAGGGTGAGTGTGTGTGGTATTGTGGACAGGTTTCGTGAAAGACATCCCCATGTCACATTTCACACTAAAACGAAAGGATAAAAATTAAGAAATTATATTTTACTTAAATCAAGACACTATGGGCAAAACCCGTGTTTTTTCATGCACTGCTCGATTTTGAGGTTTTGGTATATTTTGTTTCCATAGCATGTCTTCTTTCAGACTAGTGAAAAAAATCCAAAATGTATGTATGCATTTATGTATTTATTTAAAGTATTTTTTTTTTCATTTAATACAATTTTATTACACTTTATCTATTTGCATTTTATCTATTTTAATAAAGGTGACTATTTTCAAGTTTGATATTTTGGTCCATTTTGCTCCATAACAGTCTTTGCTCAGACTAGTGGAACGAAAACATGCACAAATAACCAAAAACATACACACCACAAACAAATAAATTGCACATTTAAGTGTTTATTTTATTGCACTTTATCGGTGTCTGTAGATTTCAATTCAAATCCATGTCTTTAAAAGAGTTTTTTTTCTCTTTCTTACACCAAAGATTTTTATAGAGGATTATAGTTTTAATCCTTTCTATATTCTGAAGACTTTTACTCAGGGGTTTGTTCATATATCATTCACACTGATTTACACTGAATGACAACATTTTATTCCTAAAATATGGTGAAAATGTATTTGTTGTAGCCATTTAAGAAAATTTACTTTTGATTTTATATTTGTTTAAATATTATTTGTTCTATTTCCTTTCGCTCCAGACCGCCAGATGCAGTGCTGAAAGCACTAGTGGAAAACTCCCCGCGCTCAAGCTTGACCGAGAATCGAATGACAAAGTTGTCACTTTGGTTATTCGTGACGTGCCTTGAACTATAATTACCCCTTACCATGTACCCTCGATCTCTTTCTCATTCTCGCTTGTTGAATCGAACGTGACGATATTTTGTGCAGCTTGCTACTGAAGAGATCTTCAGGATATATATATATCGCTAGCCGTTTCGTCGTGATTACATCGCTTTAGTATACTGATTGTTGGACTTAAACACATCTCATGGCGCACAGCGATCGTGAGATACGGATTGCATCACGCAAGAGGCTTCAGTCTGCTGGATGCCGGCAAGTTTGAATGCCTCTGTGACAATATACACTCGGAAGCCATGGCTGCCTCGGCTGAGAGTGTATACACGTATGATCGCGGCATGAATCAATAACGTGTTCCGGATTTATCGACTTTTAGGGTGAGTATTGATTTAACATGGATACACTTCAATGTTCTACATGCCCCAATGTAATGGATATCATGGATAGACATCGCCAATGTCCTGCTTGTCTGAGTAGGGATCATCTTAGAAAGGCACTGACTGACCCGTGCCCGGAATGCTCCATTATGCCACTCGCTGTGCATCACGCTCGTCTGGCCGGTCTAGAATCTGCTTCGGATAGTTTGCTACTTTCATCCAATATCACCACAGCTGATCGTAAGTGTAAGCAAGCATCTCAAAGTGAAAAGAAGTGTAAGAAAACGAAATCTTCTGATTTAGCACGCAAAGTTGATCAGCTGTCTTCTGCAGTAGAGTTGTTATTGCCACTTCTGGCTACAGCTCAGCCTAATACAGATGTACAAGAGAAAGTTCAGCCTGAGTTATGTATGACACCCTTACCAACGATGCATACAGGACAGGATTTGGATGTGATGTCAGTGGCTGCCACTGACTCACTTTTTGAAACCATTCCAGATGTTACTTCGGGTGCTGAGGAAAATCTGCCTGCAGATCCATCGCAGCACTCTGGCAGTGAGACCGTGTCTGAGAAATCAGGTGGGTCATCTTCAGTTGTTGCATCCCTGGAACGAACGTTAAAAGCTATGCTTGCCTGCATCAATCTAGATCCCCCTCAGCCAGCAGTGGGTTCTGAGAATATTTTTCTGCGTCGTGCACAGAGAACATCATTTACAATGCCTCAGTGCAATGACTTTACATCTGTATTGGTGTCTGCATAACAAAATTCAACGAAGGCTACATGTCCAGATCAGTTAGCCCGCACACTGGCTGTAATGCAAGACCCAGAGACAGTAGGACTTGGTAGCATGCCACCTATAGAATCTAGTGTGGCAGCGCTTATTGTATCTCCCAATGATTGTATCTCCAATGTTGAGTGTAGGCGCACTGATGAGTTACTGTCTCGTGCATACAATACTACAGCGAGCCTTGGCCGTGTTGCTAATTCTTTGGCGCACATGCTTGTGGCTCTACACTCCTCTCTGAGGGAAACTTCATCTGACCCGTTAGTGACAGACTTAACTGAACTTACATTGCAGACTATGGGTGTTATTGCCAATCACTGTGGAACAGCCTTAGGTACTCTTGTACAAGCTCGACGGCAAGTTTAGTTGGCCCAGTCCTCTTTGCCGGAGGTATGTAGGAACAATTTACGGAGATTGCCATTGGTACCTGGTCGAATTTTTGGACCAGCTGCACAGGAAGCCTTGGATCGACGTGTGTCAGTATCTGAAACTCACTCCCGTCATGTGGGGACTGCCCCAGGACCCAGGCCTCCTCTAGCATCCTCTGGTGCTCCTTTTCACAATGTTGGTGTAAGACCCATTTATAGATCTTCTCAACATTTCCACCTTCAGAACTCTCAGACTACTCTACCACCACCTCCTTCACTTCCCAGACGTGGTGGGACTCAACCACGTGGACATCAGTTTCACATCCGACCCCCAGGTCCCCAACGTCGCCCCCCACCTCTACAGGAAAGCGTTTGTGGGAGCGTTGATGCTCGCATGTCGACAGTGAATCATTGAATCGAGGGTCAATTGAATCATTGGAGATCAGTAACAACAAATCAGTGGCTCTTGACTACCCTTTTGAGAGGGTACCGTATACAGTTTCGCTGTTGACCTCCTGTTCACACCGGCGTAAGACAGAAATAGTTCACGATCCATGTCAGGCACAGGCACTTGCGCACGAAGTTCAGGTGCTGTTGCCCAAAGGTGCCATAGAACACATCGATCCCCAAGTTCATCCCGGGAGATTTTTTTCCATTTATTTTCTGGTTACAAAGAAAGATGGCGGGTTTCGCCCTATCTTGGATTTAAGAAACTTTAAATCGTTTTCTCAAGTTTCTCCCGTTCAGAATGTTACGCACAACAGATGTGTTGCAGGCCATCATGCCGCAAGATTGGTTCATGACAATAGACTTGAAGAACGCCTATTTTCATATTCGGATTGCACCAGAGCACAGGCGGTTCCTTCGATTTGCCATAGGGGGTCAAATATTTCAGTTCAGGGTTCTTCCGTTTGACCTGGCTTTGACACCAAGAGTTTTTTTCGAAGTTCATCCAGGCAGCATTGGAACCACTCCAGAGGACTGGCATGAGAGTGTTACCATACCTGGACGACTGGCTTGTCTGTGCAGCATCACCCCAGCAGGTAATAGATCACCTGCTGGAACACATCACAGCTTTGGGGATCACTGTGAACTGGGAGCTTGCAAGCTTGTTCCAGCGCAGTCAACCAGTTACATAGGCCTTGCTCTAAACTCTGTAACAATGTCTGCTTGCCCGACTTCAAAAAGAATAGGGTAAATTCTGAGAGCTATAAAGAGGCTTTGTGTGGGTCACACACAGCGCTATGTGGCTCTCTTGGGGAAGCTCACAGCAGCAACAGCAGTAGTACCACTCGGGTTATTGTGGCTCAGGCCATTCCAGTGCTGGCTCATCCAAAAACGGCTGTGTCCGATACAAGACAAATACACAAAGATCAGTCTCACATCCGACCCCCAGGTCCCCAACGTCGCCCCCCACCTCTACAGGAAAGCGTTTGTGGGAGCATTGATGCTCGCATGTCGACAGTGGGCTGCTTCATGGAGAGTCAATTTAATCATTGGAGATCAATAACAACAAATCAGTGGCTCTTGACTACCCTTTCGAGAGGGTACCGTATACAGTTACAGAAAGTCTGCTACCTCATCTATTCATTGTCACTCTACACGTGCCTTGGCAACATCTTGGGCAGCGTTCAAAGGGGTGTTGCTCTCTGAAATTTGTGCAGCAGCAACCTGGGCTTCATCATGTACATTTTCAAGTTTTTACAGATTGAATGTGACTCCCTTGCCAGCAGTGTGTGCTGCAGTGCTTTCTGTCTGCCCGGATGCTTCGCAGGAGGATCCCTCGTGACTGTGTAGGTATTCGTCTTCCACTACTGCTTTCAGCACTGCCTCTGGCGGTCTGAAGCGAAAGGAAATAGAACGCTGGTTACGAACGTAACTGTGGTTCTATGACTAAGTGGAAGGCCGCCAGAGGCAGTGCTGAAAGTCTCTGGTCACTCGGTACTACGAGAATGAACTAAAGCTGCATTCACACTAGCAGTGACTTTTGTCGCTGCATGTCGCCAGGGGCTGGCGATGAGGTTGCTAGTGGGCGTTCTCAATACTGGTTGCATTGACAGCGAATCAGGTTTCTTGCTGCTAAGTATAAACATTTTGGAGACAAAAGACTAAATATAATCTAAATTAAATCCGTACATACAAAAAAAATGAATGAGAAACAGAGCCTGCCTTCTTCCATTGCGTATGTTTATCTACGGTTGAGAGGAGAACGATCACATGAGCTCTACTGTCTTCTTTCCTACTGGCTGTCGCTCCCAAAAGTCACTCTTCATTTGCATAAAGTTGAAGGATTCTGAACTTTGTCGCATCGCTGGACATGCCCCATCCGGTCGCCAACGGTCGCTGTCCCTCGGTGTCGCCGGAAATCGCCAGCTCTCCATTGAAATTAATGGAATTGTGTCGCTTTGTTGTTGCGTGACGCTTGTAGTGTGAACGGGGCTTAAGAGATTGAGGTGATCTGCTAAGGGGTAATTATAGTTCAAGGCACGTCACGAGGTGACAACTTTGTAATTAGATTTTCGGTCAAGCTTGAGTGTGGGGAGTTTTCCACTAGTGCTTTTAGCACTGCCTCTGGTAGTCTTCCATTTAGTCATAGAGCCACAGTTACGTTCATA